CATAAAAATACAAAAATACGCTTAAGTTGAATAAAAAAATGAGTGGAAAATATAAAAGACATTCAAATATCCTTAGTGGGAACTAAAAATCGTATGAGGGGTGTAGAAAAGTTTTTCGGCCATATATAAATCTGGGGAATTTATTCCTTTCATTCGGGGGGGGTCGATTTAGTTGTGGAAGTAATATTTCCTGGGCCACTAAGCCCACAAAATTGTTGAAATTTTCACCTCCAACCACCGCCAGACAGACGCAATTTACATTTTTATATTCACAATTCCGCCCGGTGCTCACTCTTTCGCTGGGTGTAAAAAAAAATTGAGGATGATGAAAAAAAAAGATACCCGAAGGAGAAGAAGAAAAGAACGGAGCGACACAACACGAAATATAACTTTCGTACATATTTCTGGCTCCACTCCCCATGGATTATTTATACCGGTTTTACATTTAAACTGAAACTTTTCCCGCGTTCCATTTCATCTGATATTTTGTCGCACTTTTGTAATTGGTTATAAAAAATATGTATGAATATATAAAAAAGGGGGCGAGAATTTCTAAAGTGATGAATGTATTACTTGTTTCATTCTCTAATTAGTTCACTGATTTTCTGAATCTCTAAATTACCTGATTGGTTGATTTTTTTTATTAATTGATTCTGTCAATTTTCTGATGAAGTATAGTTGATATTCTTATTAGCTGATTGAATGATTTTCTGATTCTCTAATTGGTTGATTTTCTAACTGGTCAATTTTAAGATTTGTTATTTCTCCGATAATTTGATTTCTGATTCATTGCTTTTTTTTAATAAGAATAAGCATAAGAAACTTCAAATTATATAATCTTCAGATATCAAAATTGTAACAGATTTGTTGTTTTTTTGTAGATTATTCGATAAATCTAGGGAATTACGAGAATCACTTTTTCTCCTTCGCCCTGCTCTTCCATCAAGTAATTGACATTGAATCCCTGAATGAAAAGGATCCGGATTCAATTGTTCCCCCCATTAAATGTCGAGAGTCGCCTTTTTGAAGCAAAACTAGTTTTAACTAGAATCAATTTCCTTTCTTGCTCCGATCCTTTTCTTATATAATTCACAGCATATAGAATGAGGGTGGACGGCAGATTCAAGGATTGATTTCGGATCCTGGCCGGGATTCGCCTAATAGATAGGGTACGTGTGTAAATGCGGAACAGGACGAAGGAGCCGCATCATTGAATTTCCGGTTCGGTCCGGGAACTAACACATGCGAAAAGTTTTGCCGAACATAATACAATAGGAACAAAGTTTCCTCTACAGAGGAAATAAATAATACAAAAATAATGAACGGCAAAAGCAAACTAGAACAACTAATAAACAATATTGGATGAGATAGAAACCAATAAAGCGAAGATGATCTTAAGCAATGTAAAGTTGTTTGTCTTCGCTTATTTTCCAGTAAAAATTTGTATTTTTTTTTTATACTTCTCATACTTTTTAATAAACAAAAACTATTTCAAAAATGATTTATTTCACATTTTAAATAATCCATAAAAACATAATTCATTATATAACTTGGTAATAATTCTATAATCAAATTATGTCATCAACTATTTTGTACTGTATTTGTGTATCTAGTACATCAATTATTATAAATATTGTTTAATAATGCATACATAATATGTAATGAATACAGTAGCAACAACATTTGGAGTAACAATGCCGTAAACATTCCGGTTTGAGAACCGGATTTAGCAAATGTTAACCATAATTATTTTTGAATATATTCACTGATTAATGCGAAATATGATAACGAGCATTGCAAGCGTTGGTGTTTATTTTTTCTTTTCGCATATATGAACGAACGAAATGCGAGGGGTTTGAATTTCAGTACAGATGTTTTGTTTCAGTCATTGTTCCTCGCGTTGTTCTGGGGGGGATTGCGTTTTGAAATCAGCCCGAGCCGCACAAACCGAGTGAGTGAGTGAAGATGGGACCATTTTGTACGTGCAAATGTTTGTAATTTGAATAGACGTTTAGCGTATGCATGTGTACAAATGTCAACCCTTTCACATCAGTATACTTGAAATTTCATTTGAATTCATCTATCTTTGATGTGCGACTTCCAACATTCACACACTCTGAAAACTAACTATTTTTTATTTTACTGAATACTTTTAGAAATACTTTTTTCAAGTTTTAACAGCCTACATTTCCTATAAGAAATTTAAAATGTTTTCATGCATGAATACAAAATTATCATTAATGGACATTTTTTTCAATTTTGAAATACAAATTACACAATTTTGAATACATTTTTAGAGAATTATATAACGAATTCAAAGAGAGATAGAGCGGCTTCAATCAGTGCGAATTCACTAAAGCAAAATAACAACATTATATTATGCCATTTTTTGTACTGTTTACTTATATATGAATTTAAAGTCTACGATTAGTGCGGTTTCTAAACGTCTGAGATACTGATTATACTGATTACTCGCAATATATAAATAGTACTATTTGAGGGATAACGTTTATTCAATTTATGTAATGTTTAATAAAATTTCCTTAAACTAAAATAAATATTGAAAAAAACTTCGACAAAAATGTAACTAAATAATTCATACACGTTTTTTTTAATTGTAAATAATACAATTCTACATATTTAATTGTTATTAAGTTTGCATAGGGTAGTAATTCTATTATATGTGTTTGAATCATATTTTTGTAATGATACAAACATAATGAATTAAAATTTTATGAATTTAAATGAATTTACGTAAAGAATAAATAATTAATGTTAAGTTTTCAATTGTATACATTGTAAATAAAAAATGTAGGAAAAGTAAGCAAAACGAAATAAATGTTGACTTATTTTGTAAAATCTGGGCTACAAGTTCCCCTCCAGCAAAATCTATCAGGACTGCATCAGAACAGCCACAATCTACTTAACCGGCAGATTTCCCGAGGGTAGTACTGACATAACGTAATCATATGTACGCTTGGCTTTGACGGACTGCTAGTTCGCTAGTTCTTCATATTACGCCTTCCCGGGCAGGATAAAAGAAAACATTCGGTTGAGAAAACAAACAAATCGAGGCAAATAGTGTAAGAACTTCTCGGCATATGGGGTTCGAGTATAGACGAAAACAGGACTAAGTGTTACACCGCAGTAGGTGCAAAAAAGCTAATACGTTTAACCCCGGGCATCCTTTAAAAACCTTGTGTTTCTCACGTGACTAAATATTACTGTTCATTGAACGCTGTTCATTTCTGGAAACAAAAGTTTTGTGAAACTCAACAATCACTAGATAGTTTATTTTTTTATATCGCTATCGGTGATTCACGAAGAGGAGTCGTCGAGCTTATCCTCGACCTCCGGCTGTTCCGAAATCGAGTAAATCACTTGGCGCCGATCCGCCCTAGACTCCTTCTCGTCCCGCCGCGTTGTGTTGCACTGGTACAGGAATTCGCAGATCTCGTAACACAAAAAGCACATCCCAAGCACGAGGAACGTTTCCATCCTCACCTCGGATAAATTCCTCAACGATACTTTTCTGCACACGGTTGTTTACTGTCAAAGAGAATATGAATTACGAATGGTAGCGATCACGCGCTTTTCGAGACACGCGGGTCGCTGTTCCGTTATCCTGCGAGGCGTCCTGAAGGACGTCAGTAGACTGCAGGATCGGTCCAGGCGCTCTCCCGCCGTCGTGATGCTGCGCGACCATGCCCGAACCATGCCGAGCTCTCGAAAAGAACCCGACATTAACATATAAATAAATTAATACCAATACTGTACCATTCATCCCCAGGACTACTGGTAACACGATACTCCTAACAATTCATAAAATTTCAGAAAACTTAAGTAATTGCAACACGCGCCTAGCAATTCCTTCAGGATGTCCCATGATTTATTGGAATCCAGGAGTTTCCCCCTCTAGTATATATACACACACTGTTTCTTTTTCTGCACAATAACCCTACATATAATCTCGGGGCGGAATTTATGGAGCCCAGTTAGAGACCTCTTTTGGACCCCCTCGGCACACAAAGCGGGTGTCAATTGCGAATCAATATTTACCAGTCGACCACACCGACGTAATCAGCGTTTTAATGAAATTATTAACATTTTAATTGACACAACAGCGCCGACAGCTCGACCAATCGACCGAAACACAACCAACGCAAGCCTCGAAAAACTCACCACAGGCAGCATTCATTTAGACAACATTAAAACGCGACACGTGTTTACACTTTATTAAAACCACCAAACAGCTCATTTCGACATCATTATTACTCTCCATCATTATTACACATAAAACGTACAAAATCGAACATTTTACCACATTAAAACTTTTTATTTTAGTAAATATTTAATTGAAAACAATGAAACAAACAAATTTATGAATATAAATTAAAAATTAATTTTACTTTGTAATCATAATACTGGCGTCCCTGAATTAACGCGGTACTTATTTACTGTATTTACGCGGATTTTTTGATACACGGATTGAATTTATGCGGCCATAAATAAAAAATCATAGCAAACAATTAATAATATAAGTGAAGTAGAACTATTAAATATTACAAGTGATGAAAATAATGAGTTTGTAACAATAGAAAAAAGTTGTTTGTATTAAATAGCGATAGTGATTCTCAATAAAATTTTCTCTTGTTTTCTGAAATGTTATAATTAATTTATGCAATAAATATGTATTTCCAAAACTTATAATAACTTTTATTTCCATTTTTTTGTACAAAAACTAAATAAAGATCAAAGTAATGGTTGTATTTAGTTTGCCTCATGAAAGCATTGCATACAGAAGCTACATTTATCCACTATTAATTAATGAAATCACCTACTGGCTAGAGCCACTGCTTAATTAGTGTAAATAGGTTGATTTTAATGAAACATTTGTATTATGCTTGTTGATTAAATTCAAAACAAAATGGTTTATTTCAGTAGATTTCTGCTAAAATTTAAATTGAGCGTAAAATACAAATTTATTTTACAAATACAGTCTAAAATTCTTCTATAAGAAAATTTGAATAAATCACAATAGAAATTTTTGAAATGGTGGATGCGCCTGGAGCAGCGTTTTTAAAAATGAATGAATACATAATGAAATCATTTTCAATTAAGCGTTTGCCCTTTCTAGTGGAAATTCGAAGGGGAATGAATGGACGTGGTGAGATTTCCCATTTTCCGGCGATTTAAATTTTGAAATTGTGCCGCATGATTTGAGCGCGGGGGGCGGCGATTCCTGTAGAGTGTGGGTGGTACGTTTATATATATATAGTCAAAGCTCATTTGTCATCCTGTCCCCACGGGGAATTGGGAGCCTTCGTTAAGCATTGATTCTAACTAAGATTAATTGCCGGGGACCACCTAGGACCCCTAGAACGGGGTCAGGTATGTGTCTACATTCACTCAGTTCCTAGAATCGAAGAGAAGAGACCCGCCTGGCCAACTAAAATAATAGATCGGTCCCCGGGACCTACTCTATTTTTATTTCTATCATATTCCTTTTTCATCTATCCATTCTGTTCATCCTCTCTTTCTCTCACGCTTCTCTTCCGCAGCTCCGGGATTCAATTAAATCATTGACACACTCGAATTGAGCCGTTCTCTGTTCTCTGCAGTGATGCCAATAAACAATGCCCGACGCATTTCACCAAATTACGTTAATTATCGTCGCATTCAAAACTAACCCATCTCGACTAAACTATATATTTTTTATTTCATATTTCGATCATTGATTCAATATTAATCCATGCCGGTCAAATACAATGCATTTTGTTGATTGAGCTAATCCCATTGAATTTAATACTCATTTCTATATGATGCGTAAAGCTCTGGGGCTATTGATTTTTGCTATGGCATTAATACACCGGTTTCATATTACGGCTGTCTGTATGTTTATTTTGATTTTCGATCCAATAATTTTCAGTTCACATAAGATCGATGAGCCTCATTAATCATCTTACTATTTGACAATGTTAAATGGAAATTTAATAATAATTTTCAAATTTGCGCATTGCATGTTTTTAGTATCAAAATCGCGCATTTCAGTTTGTCTCCAATATTTACTTTATAAACTTGAATCAAGTTAACAAACTATTCAGTATAACTAGATATTTTATAATGTTCACTCGCATATAGGTTTAAAGAGCAAACAAGAAACAAACGCAGACTTGCCAATTTCCATTCGGAGTTCGGACGGTTTGAAGTGCATGGACTCACCTGAAACAAAGAAGAAATGAGAACATTTGTGCAAAAAAAAGAACAAACAAACAGGGCACATTGTGCACGGCTTTTACGCAAATTGAAAACGCAATTCATTACGTGATGAATATAAAACAACAGCAATAGAAAAACAATGGTACCAACAACGACGACGTCAAATAAAAATTATATGAATGTTAAATATTTATTTCAATTTCCTATATGGAATTATAGATATGCGTTAGAATTGAGAGCAAATAAAAATAAAACCCGCTTGAATTGCATTTTTTTGGTAACATGTGTTACTGATTTTTTTTTTAATTGGTAGGTCCCTAAAGGATTCAATGTAAACAAATTGTATATAGAGGAATGAATGCGAAAGAAAATAATGATTACATTCAATAATTGTCAATATTTTTTTCTGTAAATAAAATATTATTTCATGTTCAATTTTGTTTTATAGAACGAAAATATAAATGTTGGTACTTGTAAATAAACAACATTAAAGTTAATTTTTGTGTAAATCACTTTTACTATAAATATAATTGATAAATCATGAAGAAATTATGTAATTGAATCGTTTAACATCAAGAATTAATGCACACTTAAAAAAACTAACATCGATAATTGTGTGTTATATATTTAAATTATAAACCCTCTCGACTCTATAAGTTTCTTCCTTAATTTTACAAGATCTTCGTAAACGGAAGATTATTCCTCCATTTAATTTCCTTTGAGCTCGAAGTTAAAGCTGCAGGGTGTAAGCGCGAACAAAAACGTATAATATTTAATAAAGGGGAGGATGCGAATTGAATTGCTCCACACGAGAGAGAGCAGACAGGCCATTATTTTTTAAAAGACTGAGGAATTGCTGTCTAATCCGCTCACGTCGGGATGTAGTAGCTCTTTCATCTGGGCCGCATTGTGCTGTTAGGCCTAACGAAGACAATTGATCCCAAGTGTTGGAGCAAACATTGCTCAGAAAGCCTCAGTAAACATGCTCCCAGGGGATTAAATGAAACACAAGCAGACACACGCATATACATACATACCTATGTAAGCATATAGACATTAAACTTGGCTACAAATGTACCAAGCTCGTCCGAGCATTGTATTAATCATTTCAATTAAACTATTCAAAAGGACATCGCAACAATACTATATACACTCGCATGTGTTATTTTCACGCAATGGAATTCTCCAAAAGTTTTTGAAGTTTCATTTTTTTATCTGCAGACGTCGTATAAGAACTTCTATGTCGGAATGGAAACTTTCGCGACAAGATAATCAGTTTCAATGGAGTCCGCAAAAACAATACGAAATAAACTTTTCGTAATAGTTTTAAGAAGGAAAAATCGATCAAACAACTTACAGAAAAAGTTTCTAATTCTCATGAGAGTAAAATAAATTAAATTTGAATCTATTTGAAATGAATATGATCTTTACAAAATAAACTCATACAATTTTAAAATATCATTAAAGATAAAGTTAACAACACTGCTGGATAGTTATAAAATAAAACTAACTTATATTTAACGGTAAATTTAATGTATTATAAATCGATATTGTTTAATTAAATTACTTCATATTCGCGTTTTTGTTTAGAAGCTACTGGGATAAAAAGGGGTTTCACAAAAGCTTTAAATTGATGGATAAACACAGACTATATACCTGAAAATATTGCTCAAGATAAAGCAGGAAGGATAAACTTGAGGTTTTCCAACACTGATTAATGAGATAAACCGAACGTGAATTATGTAATTAAACGATGAACTTAACGGATTTTATGGAGCTACATCGATATGTTGTTTAATGAAATGACTTTGCACTCAAGGCGTGACGTTCAGTTTGGAAACCGACGAAACTTTATGTTAGTTGGGATTCCGAATTAATTCGTAACGCAATTAGGTTAATTCGTCGTTTGTGGTGGCTATTTAACATAATGCGGTGTGAAATTGTAATTAAAGTGGTAGTGCAAGAAGATACTCATCGTCCTTGAGTAAATAATTACATCCAGAGCAGCAGGACTAAATCTTGGACACCAGACTAGACCAGAGCAGACATTCCAGGCGATTCAATTAAATCGACAATGCTGGAGTTGGCGGATTTCTGGCCCTTTGTGATAGGATTCCAGAATTTGCCCGATTTTGAAACGCTTTGTATGAAAGTCCCCATTTTTATGTGTATGTTTTTTTTTCTCTGAACGGAGGATGCGCTGCAAACAACAAAAACCTTTAGCTTTATGAGGCGTGAAGCATTGCGAGCCTGGTTCTCGTATATATGTGAAAACATTGGTCCAGGCTCTGATTAAATCCTGCTGCCATCGTCCTCGTGGGTATTTAATGCGCGTTAACATTCATACCGCACCCGATTTTTATTATTACAATTCTTTCCATCTTTTCCCCCGGCTTCCCTAGGCACGTTCGTTTTATACCATGCCAATAAATAAATACAGCGTTGTAGATTACATTTCCTCCCACAACTCACATATCAATTAAATTCGAATTGTACATTCCGCATTCACACAATTTTATAACATATATTTCAACAATTTGCAAAAAAAATAGAAATAACAATTTATAACGTTGTTACAAAGAGGATAGAAATTACATGAAATCCTATATTCCATGTACTTCACGTAGTTGGTTTCAGCTTCGCACATTTGATATGCTATACTTCATTCAAATAGGAAAAGTATACTGTAACAACGTTTCCGTTTGTTTGTTCGTCATGTGAAACTCGGGTAACTCGTTAAATTTATATATTAAAAAAATGTGTTATTATCATATGATATTTGTAACAAAAATAATGATTTACATGGAGGTAATATTTCTGTTGATAATTCAGCGTATATTTCGCTAGGGACGAAAAACTCGTTACCAATGGAATTACATTTTAATGGCGTACAATTATAAAAAAAAAAAAGTATGCAATAAAAATAAATGAGCAGCAATGACAGTGGACGTAAAGTAAAAATGCCTCCGGAGATTCTGAATTATTCAACGTAATCCACTTCGCAGATGAAATTTTACTGAATTTCCCAGCCGGTCATAATTTTTGTTACATAATTGATGATAGATTTTCAGGCATTAGACTACTTAAAATAACTACTATAGCTTAATATAGTATTTGTTTGTAAAAAAAAAAGTGTTGGAACAAATAAATGATATTTAGCATTAAGATATTTTCCGTAGAAATATATGACCCAAATCATAAATGGCCTGGTTTGTATGAAAAATCCTATAAAAAAGTAATGCAAATATTAAATCGCGATACGAGATGTGCAATACTGCGTTCACCATAGAAATTGGCAAATATCCAGCTAAAAGTATAAATTATATAATTGGGGTAACTACGGACTATTATCTTTATACCTTCATCATTATACTATAACGAGATAATATTGTCCGTAGTGATGGCAAAGATGTTTCTAGATGTAAATTATTTATTGTTTAGTGTAATTTTTGCTTAAGTTTTATTATTGCATTACATAAGCAATGAAGTTAGTAATGAAATTAGTGTCGCGTTGATAATAGTGATGACTTCATCAATAATCGTGTTGGGTGTACCACCCGTCCATTTTAGGTAACGGCCAATTATGAAGATCAAAGAGACGCGACACGGGGATGGATGGCTAGGAAGAATGAAATATTAAGGTGGTGGCACTTGCAAACGGCGCGCGGCAGGAAGTCCCTGTGTAAATGGATCCGCGCTGTGGATTTTGAGATTCAATTAAGTGCTAAAATAATTGGCCGCACTTCCTGCGGAAACTTGCGATTGATCTGTGCGCGAAACTGAGAAATTAATTTGGGGAAGTTTATTGTAAAGTCAGCGGCGGGCGACAAACCGTGACGGAATCCATCCCATCACGAACCAACCATCTCAGCCACCCACAAACCCCATCCCCACGTTAAATCCAATTCTGCCGATTCCCTCCAGTATAATTGAATTTCGAATTTAGCGGCGGAGAGTAATAATAGTAAATAAAAATTTCTTTGCCAACTCGCACCCACAGAGTAATTCCACATTTTTTTTAATAAATTTGTTACAACCTCACATATTTCTAAATAACGGTTAAAAAAATACGTTTTGCTATACCTTTTTTGCAATTAGTTTGAAATACATCCAAAATTACATCCAACGAAACAAATAAAACTCATAAAAACAGCTACACTCCACACAATACGTTCCAAAATTACTAGTCATGAAGATTATTACATCACGCAGACACAACGCGTGACTTGGAAAGTCAAATCATTCAAGTATAATGTATTACATTTTTATAGAATAAAATGCTAATAATACTTGTACAAGCATTTGCGAAACAAGATTTCATAGTGAACGAACATATTTTATTGTAGATGCAAGTTACAACTTGACATATTTTTGACATATTTATTGTCAAGAATCTTATCAATCTATCAACAATTATAATGGTAATTCGTACAAATACTGCTAATCAATAAGATACATTATACATATATAGCACTTAACAAACACTTGCAGACGGCGGAAAGACCTCTAAAATATAATTATATAACTTGACAAGTTACTTGGTAAAAATAGCGTAATATACATAAATTACATACATAGAAAGGAATCTGACTACAGTCAGTCTACAGTCTTTGCGCTATGTATATAAGTTTCATCAAATATTGATTAAAATTGTCAATAAACAAAATATCTTAATGAAAGGGACGAACTAATTTAGAAACAAAGACACCATATGGCAAAGTAATTATTGGGGTGATGACATAACACTGTTGACACAATGTTAATCAGTATTCTGCTTGTTTTATATACATTGTTTACAAAGACATTAGTAAATCCATGAGTGGGATTATCAAAGAGCTACTTTCCAAGTTGTTAAAATAGTAAAATTAATGACTGCGACATTTGGCTTTCGTAAACAATTATACTAAATATCAGCAATTTAACAGTCCCGGCTCTAAGGAGGATGAAAGCAGAAGAGTAATAATCTGCCTAATTGAACGGTGCTCGAAATCTGGCTGGAGATG